TTAGGTTTTCTAATTGCAGTCGACCCTCAAAAAGGTATGTCAAGCGCTCCCAGTGTATTTTTGAAATGAAATAAAAGCTCCTCATAAAAATTAATCGGCAGTTCGGATGCTGTTTACAGCAAACTATAGGTCAACATCAACTATATACAATAAAAACATCAAGCCGAAAGCAACAAATTGGAGGAGGAGATCGGCCGGAAGACACTTCAATGGCTACAAAGTGTCAACAATATGTAGATATGTATGTGGAAACTGTTTCTAGAAAGTATAAAATCCTTAAAGTTATGTGAAGTTGTACACGCCAAAAACTTTTAATTCGAAATTTACAAAATTTGTAAAAATTTCTGCAGCTCATAAATATCAACGAGTTTTGTTTATAACGAGCCAAGAAATGATGATTGATTGCTTTCCTTTAAGCCTTTTTATGCTGGTTTTCGCTGTTGTTATTTTTTTTCTACACTTCAAAACTTTAGTTTTCCATTTATGAAGCAAATTTGGTAATAAGTTATTTGGATATATTATGTTGGCGTAGTATTGTTCTGAAGAGCATACATATGTACATTTGATTTTTGGCATAGACTTTTCCTTTCTTTTGATTACAAATTGGATAGCTTTTTTAAATTCAATATTTTGATTTTTTATATAACTATTTTTTGTAGTGTGTAAATATGATATATTTCTCATATATGTATTTATTTTAATATATTTATTTACAAAGTCTGCCAAAATCAATATATCAGTTTATTCATCCATACGCATATATACTTATAAAAACCAATTTCTGCTTAGTAGCAAAAAGAAAAAGTCATACCCTTGTCTAAGCGATATTTTGTTGATTTATTTGAGGCATATACTCTTCCTTATACATATAACTCTCAAACCACAAATTGTGCACATTTATCAAAGTAGAATTGCGCCTAACATATTGGCCTCACATACATACTTGCTCCTTACCAACGATTTTATAATCGGAAATATTTGTCAAAATCCATCGAATTATACACACCAACACACCATCAGTAGCGTATTGTTTACACCAACCAATGACATTTGCTGACAAAAGTTGGCAGTGTAAATTTTGTTAGTGACACCGCAGAATCCATTTATCATTTTGCTGTCATTTTTTGAAGTCAGCGAAAAAAAAAAAATAAATGGAAAAGAAGTTACAAGTCAAAGTAGGCAATGAATGGGGAATATGTACGTACATAGGTGTACAAACAGAGGAGGTGAAATATATTTATTTTTTCCTTATATAAAAGAGGTTTAAAAATTTATTATTATTTATTTATTTATTTTTTTTTTACATCCGATTACGGTGAGTTAGTGAAATAAAAGTAATTTTTTTACATTTTGTATTTAATTTATATTTTTGAATTTTTTTTTCTTCTTGTTTTACTTCATATAATTTTATTTTACTTGATTTGACTATATTTAATTTTATTTTGTTCTATGTTTTTTATTTGATTTAATTATTTTTACTTAATGTAAATTATTTTATTTTTCATTTTAAACTATTTATTAAATATGAGTGCGCTATAGTGTATTTTTATTTTATGTTATTTATAATATTTATTTTTTATCATATTATTTTATTATATTCTTTGGTTTGTTTTATGCCGTTTTATTTTTTATATTTTTGTGTTATTTTGCTCAGTTTTGTGTTATTCTATATATTTTATATCACTTTATTTTATTTATTTCAATTTTGGAAACCAGTTTATTTGATTTGGTTTTTTTTATATTTTCTTTTGTTCTAAATTTTTTTTAATTTAAATTAATTTTTTTAATTTTAGTTTATTTTATTCGTCTTTTTATTTGATATAATATTAGTTTATTTTTATATTATTGTATTTAAAATGATTGATCTTTTTCTTATTATTTAATTTCATTTGTTGGGTTATTTTATTTTATTATAATATTTTTTTTAGTTTTATTTTAGTTTTTTTAATTTTGTACTATTATTTTTAATTTAAATATATGTAGTTTTGCTAAGTTTTGTTTTATACAATTTTTCTTTTTAATTTTTTATTTTTTGAATTAAACTTATTAAATTTAGTTTAATACAACATTGCAACATTTTAGTCATTCTGCTTTGGTTAGGTATTAGCAAATGACTGTACCAATAACGGCATTTCTGAATTTAAGGGTTTTGTATTTGCTAGTTTAGAACCATTTCTAAACACAAGGTGACTCACAAGGAAGAAATGCTAAAATTTTCTGCTTCATTTCTTTTTTGCATTGTTTTTTTTCTAATTTTTTATATAAAAATATTTATTTAGTACAATTTTTATACAACTAAATAAAAAAACAAAAAGAACGTGAATATCTTGCACAAGTAAATTGTGTGTTGTTTAGTTTTGTGGAGCTATGCCAAGGCGACTGCTAGCCAAGGCACAATCCCAGTGTTACGTTTTTTTGTTGAAGGAGCTTGTACACGCTTAGCTTGGCTCCTAACCTTTCGTTATTTTCTACAAGCTGAGTTGCCACATCAGTTTTATATCGAAAGACAGAACGAAGTACAGTACGAATAATTTATCAATGATCAAAAATAATTTATTTTGCAATATGTGAAACACCTTGTGAACGAACTTCAATACAGAATTTTGGGAATCCTTTGCATTTATATAATACTCAAATTTTATTTTTTAAAATTTTTTCAGTAGTTGACATAATATGCAAAAAAATTTGCTTGATTATATCATAATACTATATTTTTAATATGTTCTACTATTTTAAATTAAATAAAATTATAAAATTTCTAATGTACCGCTTAAGAAAACAATTATTTTTTTTTTTAATTTTTTTTAACGGAATCCTTTGAAATAAACTCTCATCTTTTATATTGACATGCCCAAATAGATTTGTATTTAAATGTCTATACTCTAGCACTTATTTGTTAATTTGAGCATTAAGGTTCTTATCGCTCAAAAAAAAAAAAAAAAAAAAAAAAAACGAAGCAATAATAATAAGTTTATGTTTTATACGTATGAATTTTTTTGCTAATTAAAAATCAAGAAACTACGCATCAATGAAATACACTCTTAACCTCTTTCGCGTGGCAGAGCATCAAGCACGACTAATATGTGTGGGATTCTAATCAATACTATATAGAGTGTAAACAGGGGGAATCAACAGCAATTACTAAAAACATACATAATTAAGTTAAAAACAATATTCTTATAAAAACCCTTTGCGAGTGAAATACCAACTAATATTTTATTTTATATTATTTTATTATTATTTTTTAAATTTTTTTTCTTGTTTTATTTTTTGTTTTCTTTTATTTTATTTTATATTATGTTATTTTATTTTATTTTATTTTATTTTATTTTATTTTATTTTATTTTATTTTATTTTATTTTATTTTATTTTGTTTTATTTCGTTTCATTTTATTTTACTTTAGTATATTTCATTCTATTTTATTTTATTTTAATATATTTTATTTTACTTTTTATTATTGTTGTTAATTTATTAATTTATTTTTTTTGTTTAATTTTATTTTAATTTAATTTAACTTTGATTTATTTAATGTAATTTAGTCTGATTTAATTTTTTCCCTGTATTTTATATTGTTTATTTATTTTCTCTCAGTTTTTACCAAAAATATTTATACTTGTTCACCCTATATAGCATAGAAATCCGATCCAAGATGAAATATCTTTAGGCAGATGTACATTCATTCATATATATTTCCTAGACCGCCTTATCAACTTTCGGCCGGCAGTGCTCATTTTGTGAATAAACCAAATAAAACTGCATAGAACCTATTTTCATATTTAATAGTTATTAACCTTTGCCATAAAGTTTGCTGAAACGTCAAGGTGATTCCTAATTTGAAAGAAAGTACGCAGTTCCTAGACTTACTAAAGTGAGTGACGCAAAATAATCGTTATTGAAAATATGTGGAAAACAATGAAAAAATAACAATAATAAAAAGTATAAAAAAAAACATGCACATATACGTAAAACACTTATTGCTAAAAATAGGTGTAAGTAGATTAAAAAATATTCAATCACATGCAAATGAAAAAGATTTTCCAATCTGTCAAAAAAAAAGAAATCACGTACTTTAAATGACTTTGCATGAATTTTAATTATCGACAAATTACACTGTATACATATGTATGTGTGTGAATGCATCGGCATGTATAGGTGTATAAAATAAATTATTCATGATACGCGAAATGTGCAAATTAATTAATAATAAACATAAATCTCGTTGATAATTTAATGAAAATAAGTCCATTTCGTGATTTTGATTTCACCTTTCTGGTGATTTGCATTCTTTTCATATCTTTTTTTTTTTGCTTTCTTTATTGCTAATAGAGATATTTTGCAAAAAAGGTAAAAGTCAGAGTTCATATAAATTGAATTTAATCATTGTTTTTATGAACTATTTTAAAATCCAGATTAACTCAAACATAACAAAGGAATAATAAATAAGAAAGTAAATCATTTGAAAAATATTATTTCTATATTTGAAATTACCTTGTTTTTTACATTGACAAGAAGGCTACTCACATACTTAGCCTCTAGCCACCGAGTTGGAAATTGCGTATGCTTAAAGATTTCTGAGATTTCTCACCGAACAGAGCTATAATCTACTGAATTATATACAGATAGAGGATTTGGTTTTAGTAAAGTGTGAAAATTTTGATATTTTTCGAATTAGAATTAACTTCAGAAAAATTGATTTACGAAATAAATAGTAAATAATCGACATACAGGATACCATATGAAACCATTGTTAAAAGCTCATATTAAGCTTTTTTGTATCAAAACTATATTCTTATTACTATATAAATAATTATAATGAGCTTGAATTAATTTATCAAGCTGAGCCATATTAAATATTAATTTAGTATACATATACCTGCATATATGTACCTCACAGCAATTACCATATTCATGCACCAACAAACCTCCAGATCTCAGTGTACATAGCTGACGAAGTATAAGTGTAGCAATTCATACTCAGTTACATACATACATAACTACGTATGTTTGAATCTATAGCCAACCTAAAACTTATATTATATTTAAAATTCAAATTCAAATGGCAAACGAAAGCTATATTTGGCATGTAAGTCACTCAAGCGCTGACAGTCTAATTTAGACAAACCAAGTGTGTAGACGCAAAGCAGTCAAAGAATACGAAATTTAAAAAAAAATATTTGCCAACTAACCAAATAAATTCAATGACTTTATTAGCAAATAAATTAAATTCAACTAAAATGCTAACATTTTACCTACTCTTCTCATTATCCTTGTGGTCCTGCGCGAGTGCTTATGTGACACCAAGCGATTTGCCAGAACGTGTTGGTGACAAATTTATATATTTCGGTTACGGTAGTAATATGTTGACGAAGCGCATTCATATACAAAACCCAACGGCCGTGAAGATCGGTATGGGTATTCTGAAGGATTATCGTTTGGATTTTAATACATACACCGAGCGTTGGGGCGGTGCGCCGGCGACAATTGTGCCCACGGATGGCGCGTACGTTTATGGCACATTGTGGGAGATTTCGCTTAGTAATTTGGATGATATTGATGAGTGAGTTTTTTTGAGAAAAATTTTGTTAAAAAAAAATAGATTAAAAAATTAAATAGAATTAGTAGAAAAATAAATTAAACAAAACAAAGATAAAATGAAAAATTAAATATCAATATTAAAATACAATATTAAAAATTATATTACAAAATAAATAATTACATAAAATAAAATAATATTAAATTGTACAATAAATTCAAATAAGTAAAATTAAACTAGTTTAAAACAAACTACATCAAATAACATTAAATTAACTATAACAAAGTATTTAATTTCAATTAAATAAAATAAAAATAAAATAAAATAAAATAAAATAAAATAAAATAAAATAAAATAAAATGAAATGAAATAAAATAAAATAATTTTGAATAAGACAAAATTAGTTTAAATTAATGAAAATAAAATAAAGCAAAATAAAATACAATAATTCAATATGGATACAAATAATAACATTAAACAAAATGAATAAAAAATAAAATAATATACAATAGAACTACTGAAATAAAATAAAAATAATAGATTAATATAATAAAATAATAGAAGTAATCAAATAGAAAAAAGAAGACAATATAGTAATAATAAAAAGAAAAAAAAAGTAAATAAAAAGTAATAATAAATATTAAAATAATTCAAATAAATATTTAAAAAAAAAAAATGTTTCGAATAAAATAAAATTAAGTTAAACTAAAAAAATTAAAATAAATAAATTAAAATAAAATAAAAGAAATATAATAAATAAAATGAAATTTAAAAATAAGGAAAAAATAAATTTAAATAAAATAATATAAAATTAATCAAATAAAATAATGAATGAAAAAGTAATATAATAAAATAATATTAATAATTAAAAAAGAAAATATTTTAAATGGAAAAAGGTAAATCAAATCATAATTAATATTTCATAAAAACGATGAATATATAACTGCAATTAAAATATTTTAATTTTAAAGACATTAAAGAAATATGTATCGCTATTATTTTTTCGCCAACAGCCAAGAGGGCGTTCATGAGGGTATTTACTACGCCGCAAGGCTGCCCGTAATGCTGCCGAACGACACATTGACTACAGCACGCGCCTACCTATTGGCTGATCAACCGAAAACCCCCTTAAATGATTTCCCTAGTAGTGATAAAATACCACAAAACCGTCAACCATCGAAAACGTACTTACAGTGTTTGGTAAAGGGCGCACAAGAAACGGGCATAGTACCCTGGTATGTGGAGTGGTTGAAGTCTGTAAAACATAACGGTCACATAGCGCAGGATTTGGAGCAAATTTTAGACTTGAAGGATGTGAAGTTGAATTCTTGAAGTGTCTGTGCTGTTAATATGCGCAGAGAAGATCTGTGATAATTATATATAAATAAAATATAAGTAAATATTTATATTTATAGATTAGAAAAAATATATTTTGTATGTATTTTGCATTTATACTTAAAATAAGTAATTGTATATGTATGTATATATATTTGAATAACTTTTAATAAAATAATATGAATTAAAAAACAGACAAAAATTATAACCGACCTTCTTGTAGAAGTATCTGGAATCCTTGGACAACTTAGGATAGAGGTATAATCCCTGAAGAATGATTCATAAAACACTGTTTGGGATATCGAATTATACTTTTGAAAATATAGAAATGGAAAAATTTACGTATTTAATATTATTATTAATATTTCTGGCAAAGAGATATTTTTGAATAAATAATTATTTATTCAAGGTGATAGATTTCTTCAAAGGTGTTCAGCTTTTGTTATAATAATTGCTTAATCAAATATAAAGGCCACTTAATTCGTTATGATTTTATCATTGTAAATGACTTTACAACTTTTTTAATTTTTTAGAAGCTCAACTAATGAAAAAAGCTGCACGCTGCAAGCACTAAAAGCTTTAATTTCTTATCAGCTTCAGTTAGGCAAAGAGAAAAGCACTGCCAATTGTCACTTTGACATTCACAAAAACAACATTGAACTTTATACAGCGATACCAAGCTGGCGAGTCACAATAAATATTTGCAAATAATTTAATTTAAATCAAATTATTACCTTCCGGGTGCTTTTGGTACAATAACGAATAGTGAGTGCAATTTACAAGTAAGAGTGTATAAAATAAATGTGGCTTAAAATGAATTGGCTTAAACGCGTGGACGATAAGCCGATTGTGATATTTGTTTTTCGAGGCGGACACATTGACAGCTGTTCGAGAGAGAGATAATAACCAAATGAACAGCTGCTCGCTGCAGGAGCTTTTGCGCCAATCTATTACAATCTCTTAAGCTTATTTCCACAGAGTGTTTCTAATAACAGAAAAATTTTTTGTTGAAAGAAGCTGAAAATAAATTAAAATTTTGTTTGTCCAATAACAAGGTGCAATTTCCGTTCATTTCAGATGTCTTCAAAATTTTATTACTTTGGGTTTGGCAGTAATCTGCTAGCGAAGAGAATACACATACAAAATCCAACTGCTGTACGAATAGGGCCTGGGAAGCTGGAAGTAAGCTGATAGTATTTCTTTTTCCCTTAATAAATTTTATATCATAATTCTTTCTTCTCCTCAAAGAACTACCAACTTGATTTCTACACCAGCTCACGTACTTGGTATGGCGCGCCCGCAACTATAGTACCTAAGTCTGGCTCTTGTGTATATGGCGCCATTTGGGAGATTGATAATAGTAACTTGAAAGATTTGGATGAGTAAGTAAAAACGCTTAGAGACCATGTGGGAATCTCACTTGTTTTATAATTCCAACTTAAATTCTATTTCCAGCCAAGAGGGCGTTTCTCATGGCATTTACGTGCCTATCACAGTGCCGGTTTTACATCTGACCGATGGCAAGAGCATCGAGTGTCGTGCTTACCATTTAACTAATCAGCCAGAGGGTGATGTGCGATGTTTGAAACCCGAAGAGATACCCTATGATCGGCAGCCTTCCAAAACTTACCTGAAAACTATAGTGAAGGGTGCAGAAGAAACATGTCTGCCGGCAGACTATATACAGTGGCTGCGCACCATTATACATAACGGCAAAATGGTTGAAGTACTAGAGAAGAAATTGGAATTGGAGGATGTAGTTCTGTAAAGACGGAAAATAGAGGATTTTCGAAAGACGAAGAAAGATATTAAATGCATTTAGGGTGGCAGAGATCTGAGATTAATTTTATACTACAAATAATTCTTATAAGTATTAAAATATCTTGTAATTAATAATATCCTTGGAAATGTCATACTCGCTCGCGAGCATGGAAATATTTAGAAATACAAAAGTGAATTTTTTGCCACACTCTCTTTGCAACCGTTCGTTGGCCCAAGTGAGAAGAAGATAAAGCTAGTCCATATCATTGAGATCATCTATTTGGAAACCCAAAAAACGAGTTGTTTCGACGGGCTCGAACCTTTGGTGTTAGATTAAATGCACATGTTTGTTTCATGCGAGGACTCAAGATAAGCTGGGCATGCGCAGGTCGAGTGCCATACAGGACTTAGTTTCATTAGCATTCCTCGAGTCTCAAAATGTTCCGGACTTCCGTACAATCGGACTATTAAGTCGGTCCTATCAGCTGCAGTTGACGCAAGTCCACCTAAACTAAGAAGGTAACCAAATAGGAAGCAAGTTGCGGAAGGAATTTGGGCGGTTTTTCTGCGGCTGACGTCGCCTTCAATGAGAAGACTGTTCCACCATTACCGCCCTCGCGATTCTTTCGCGAGTCGTCGAAACCGACGCGTCTCTGAAAACTTGACCGCTCGTTTGAACTGTAGCTACTGATATACAATCCGGTATCATGACCTTAACAACCTTTTTGTTGTCTGCCAGCTCAAGGCGTTCATAATCCTGTTAGTTGTGAGTACTGTACGAGAGATTACAGTACATTGATAGTGGAGTTACATCTATTGAAAGAGACATTCCGATATATTAAAGCCTGGGAAAGAGAACAGACACGGGGGGGTACTTTGAGCTTCCGAGTATATCATTCACATTGGGTGGACCTATATGTAGATTGGACATGAGACCCTGTAAAGGGTTGTCAGTAATGGGAATATAGCCATATAAAGACCTCAATAGACATGTTGAGCTCCTCTTGACAGTGAGGCATCAATAAAAGCTCTAAGCTCAATCTTAAATCTCTTCAGTAGATGTCTGAACAGAACAGTTTAACCTGGTCTTAGATTCTTGTTAACAAATACAAACAGGAAGTGCGGACTGGGTACTCGAGCCTGCTAGGCAAATTGCGTCCAAGCAGGTTTTGTTTTGTAAAAACCATATAACCACGCGCAAACTGTTACTAAAGAGTACTTTCACAGACAGCCTGCGTTAAAGAGGGCATAAAACTTAGCAAATTGTGTTTGAGGAAAAACGCTCTAGGAAATCCTGCTGGAGAAGCTCGAATGGTTTAAATTCTATGAAAAAGGAAAAGATAATTGGAATCCTGATAGCTCATTACCAAGGGATAGAGTGTAGAGAAAAGCTAGAGACCCCTTTCGGAAGACGATATAGATGCCACAGGTGTAAATAATAGGAAGAGATGATTTTCACCTGTTGTGAGCGAATTTAAATCATTTATTATAGAGTCAAAATGAATTGGAAAAGGGTCGTAAGGCCAGAGCGAATGTTCTGTGTCTTCATAGGGAGCTTGTTTTGGTCAAAGTGTGTTTATGCTTCCAACCATTTTCTGCATATGCACCACCTAAATCTATATACCCCTTCTAAATAAATAGCTCCTTTCTAGAAATTTTCGTTAAAAGAGGCCCCGAAGACAAAACCAGAAGATCCAAAATATTTCATTTTAATTTTTTAATGTGGTTTTTTCCCACTAAATATAATTTTTAGCACATTTTTAAGAATAATTCTTTGAAAAATTCTACTTTTAGTGCATTTATAACGTTTAGCTCTTCGTACTCTTCTTTTTCCATTACAATAGCACCTTTTATTTCGAAAACTTGCCAAACTCGTCAAAGAATGGCGAACTGCCAAATACAGAGCGCAAAAAGTTCATTTCATTATCGAATTAGTGTGTGTGGCCAAAGGTGATTATAAAAAGTGCCAAACAGAAATTTATGCAAATACACACATATACTATACCTAAAACTTTCAACTTTCAAATACCCAAAAGTACCTTTATAATATATTAGTAAACAAATACAAAGCAAAGGTACATACAAACCGACAAGTGGAATTGCATTTGACAAGAAAGCGGCAGCAAGGACATGAGGCAGAATATACAAAATTTCAGTTCAAAAACACAACACAACTACAAACATAAGTTCATTGAGTGGCGGTAAGTGCGAAGTTAGATGTAAGAAATGTGGTTTAAAAGCAACTGTATGACCATTCAGTGCAGCTGGCAAGTAACAAAATAGTATTTTTTGAAGTTCCTACTCAGGTTGCGTATACGCCATGGTGCTGTGGAGGGGAGCAGTGTTTGCACTTTAATCCCTAACAAAGTTTCGAGTGTAGTTTACAATTTTCAAATTTTCACAATAAACACACACACACACAGACGTACATATGAGCAAATAGAGAACAACAACAATAACAATGCGAGGAAATAGTTGTTTGCGACGTTGTTTGTTGTGGAGCAAAGGTGTGAAGTCTAAATGCAAAGTGGCGAGTTTTCATTTCGCAAATGAGCGCCATGCAACTGAGCGTTAATGAAATGCAGTCAAGACTGCTCTAAATACACATTTTTGTTTTCTTATTTTTATTATTTTTTTTATATTTTCTACACTTTTAACCTTCTCATCCTTAAGTGAAGTTAGCAAACGGATATTAGCTGTTAACTCTGCATTGGCTAATACATAAAATGGTAAATTATGGAAATTGGCCAAGTTAAGAGGCAACTAAAAGCAGCAGCAGCAACAACAGTGGCGTTGGATCGTGGCGAAAGGGTTTACTTTTGGCTATGCAAATTAGTATTTAAAGTGGGAAAAGGGAGTAGAAAGTAGTAGTTAAAATTTAAATTAATAAAAGCATAGTGTAGCGTTAGAGGGGAAGGCGTCCGAAGAAACTCCAGAGAATATTTCTAGAAAAAAAGTCTCATTTTAACTGCAAATTGTACTTTAGTATTGTTCAGTAAACTTCTTGACCAGCTTACAGACAACAAAAAAGGAAGAAAAAGCTTTGCCGACAAGACAATCACCAGTTGCTGCTCAACTACAGAGATAACCCATACTCAACTCAGGCACTCAGCTGCGCTCATGCTCACAGTAAATTGCATTTTAATTGTACTTTAAGAGCGCTAAGAAACTCTTTCGACGCCTCGGTGCTTTGACGCTAAGTTTCTTCAAACTACATAAATGGCAAGCAACAGTAAATGCACATTGAAATACTATTAGCAGAAAGCTTCTCAACTCTTTTCAGTAAAATGCTGGCTTATATTTTAGTGTATTTTTTCATTATATTTGTTTGCTCAAAATTTTGGTAATCATCATAAATAAGTGATTAAAAATAATTAAACTCGACTTGAGACAGAAAATTTTGATATTATTTTTCGTAAGAAGCGTAAGTGACTTAGGTGTTCAGTTAAGAAGTTATTGTAAAACTCTTAGGCAACTGGACATTGTTAATTTGCATTATAAGTCTAAATAGTAAATCTCGCAGCCAAGGCAAAACAGTAGAAGAAAGGTTTAGTGAATACATAAATAAATGAAATCAAACTGGATTTTGAATGCTAAATAAGTCTTTTAAAAAAGCTAATGGAAATACTTAATAGTATTTCAACACAAATTTGACCGAATCTCTTCGTTTTATTGATTATTTTTCAATAAGTGAAAAAAGTAAGAAGTACTACATGGGAGATATCCAGCCCTCCTCCCTCCTCCCTAGTACTTCTTTTCCTCCTCTAAATAGCTAACAGAAAGTACGTATTGATTATTTGCAATAGATAAAAATTGAGAGAGTATTAAATGAATATTTTTAAAGTAATATTGGAAAATGGGAAAATTGTTTATTATTAATGGCAAACGACTGTTGCTTTTTTAGACTATTAAACCTCTGATAAAACTAGAAAACAGAGAGAAAGTAATGGTTAAAAATTATGATGCAAATTTTATAAAAAAAACCTCCGCCAATTTTATGTGTTTTTGAACGTGTCTTGTGATACGTAAGGATATATATACTCCAGCTTTGAAAGTTTACGATGCAGTACCCGCCGGTGGAAGCAGGAGAAGAGGGAGACTTCCACTCCGTTAGAAAGATCAGTTGGCGAAGTATATCTAATTGGCGACAAACAATGAAGAACTGATTGGTACGCTAGTGCTGATTGCTATTGGTGTCTACGCCAACAAAGAAGAAGAGAAACGAAAGAGTTGAATTTTTAGTTCTGTTTTACTCAAATTCTCTTTCAAAAAAAGCTATTTTGAGGGTTCGAAAAAAAGATTAATCAAATTTAATTCAAACTATTTTTAATGAAATTGCTTTATTATTATTAAGGTTTAATGTTGGCTTAATGTATGAGAGAATATCATTCCAATTGACGTCTTGACTATTTTTGGAAAATTCGAATCATCTGATATAATTTTCGACAACTTTTGGCTCATATTAAGTGGCTGCTTAGTCATAACTAGACGAATGTAGGGTTTTAAGTATTCGAGAGTCGAAGGTTTATCAGCATAAACACAATATTTAATTCAGCCCTACCAAAAAGAGTCCAAAAGTATTAAATCGCACTATCTCGGTGGCTAATTGACATCGCCAAGGGGAAACGCTAGGCGGTCGGGGAGTTTTTCTAGCAATAAAATCGTTTGCGCTCGTGTTCTATATCATCTTGTTAAAACAATATATTATCCAAGTTATGTGCTCCAATTAGGCCATAAAAAGTTCGTTATCAAACGAGCATAACGATCAGAATTGACAGTGAAATTCTCGATGTTTTCCCAACCAAAGGCCCAAATAGTGAGTTGTGTTATAGCGTATTGACCTCCCTTCAATTATTTCAGGTTTTTTTTCCCACTGCTTTTTTGCTCTTCATTCAATGCTTTATAAAAAGTGTTACAGTGATCGGATTTAGTAAAATATGCGCCGTTTTGTTCCATGATCTGTTTCCATCTAGACGGCAACTTCATAATACCTTCCTCGTAGAAGCCCCCCTCCTTATTTGCGAAGAATTCGGATAGCCACTTTTCACAATCCTCTTTTGAGTTCAATTTCACACCACCAAGGTCATTCGCCATAGACAGGAACAGGTGGTATTGGACAGCAGAAGCACTGTACTACTGAAACCGCGAAATGTATAACCCTATAAATGTGTAATTGATTTGAAATAATATTCTAAGGAATC